GCAATGCTATCTAACCATCTCATCTTCTGCCACCCCTTTCCCTTTTTGCCTTCAGTCTTTCCCAGAATCGGGGTCTTATTTCCAATGAGTCGGTTCTTTGCATCAGGTAGCCAAAATATCCAAGCTTCCGCTTCAGTCAATAACTCTAGTAATTGCTTGCTTTGACTTTCTTACTCATGGAATCATGTCTCTCATTCACCTTAAATATTTTGGATAGTGTGACTAGCATTTAAAAAATATTCTTCACAGCACTGTGAAACATATTCTTGCAACAACACCAACTTCTTGCCTCTCTATCCCCATTCCATTGTGCTTCTCCCACTTCGTATTACTGTGAAAATGAAACTCTAAATGATTGTCTGCCTAATATTTTTTGCTAACAAAATTTTCCATGAATATTATAACTTGAAACTCCTTTCACTTGCATCTCTAGATCCTTTATAGAATGTTTATTACTAAACTTTGCCATAAAACCTTTTAACTATGTCAAAATCAGCACAAATTTTCCTAAGAAATTAGACTGACAAAATGGCTTTGAGTGGAAGATATTCTTCATGCAATTTTCCCTCAAATTTCTTTGAGGGCCATTATTTCTTCTTTGCCACTTTTCTTTGCTATTAAAACTGCATCCTCAGTCCAAGGACTTGGTGGCTAACACTTACACTTGAATAAACCACGTAAATTCAGATCATTATCTAGCCAGCTTAATCTTAATTTCCAGTTATTATAATGCTCATTTATAGTTTGAGAGGAATGTATGGCTTTAGTAACAGAATGTTTAAAAAGTCCTAGTGTTTTTAGACTTTTGAAACTTTCTAGAAAATCTTCCAGACTCTAGAAAGATTGAAATCGCAGTTAGTTTTACCTTCACTGGTTCACTCAACACTTATGTGTAACAGCTATGTATTAGGAACTGAATATGTGGGGGTAAGCAAAACATCAATGATACTTGACATAAGATAAGAGAGATCATAGACATTTCATGAGAAAATAAATAATTATAAATCTTAAATTAGAGCCAAAAGTCCAATGTGGACCATCTTACCAGGGATGCTGTCCATATATTAAATTAATTTTATATTAATGCTAAATTCAGAAAAAAAATTACCATGTTAAGTCTTTGTTTTAAAATTACATCAGATCAAGAATATAGGTAACAGTTCCATATACCCTATTTATTATCAAACTGATATTATGTAAAATAAAGTCCATTTAACAATTTCAGAAAGTTTCCAAATAATTTTGGGTTTAAAAAAAAAATTCTTTTTTTTTTTTTTTTTTAACCTGCTTCAGTGTTATCGACCTGAGCTGTAGGGAATGGCCTTAAAGCTCTTCCTTCAAAAGAACTGCTAAACACAGCCTTGGTGTGAGCGTGCCCAGTTGTGTCGGACTCTTTGCGACCCCGTGGACTGTAGCCCACCAGTCTCCTCTGTCCGTGGGATTTTCCAGGCAAGAATACTGGAATGGGTTGCTGTTTCCTTCTCCAGGGAAGAATGATCTACTCTAGACCAACTCAGTTTCATTCAATTTATGCCCATAAGTAAGCGGTCACTATGTGTGTTAGCCACTATACTAAGCTATGGAAGTCATTGCTGATATTACTTAAGCTCTTCTAGTGTTTTATAACTGCATAGACCTAAGAACACTTTAAGAGGTATTTATGCATATATGCAGGAAATTTAATAATTAAATTTAAGAATTAAATTTAGAATTGTACAAGAAAGGCTGTATGAACTGAACTGATACCAGATAGCTATCTCAAGGAAAGATTTTTTATTGTTTAGTCAGTCGTATCCAACTCTTTTGCAACCCCATGGACTGTAGTCTGCCAGACTCCTCAGTCTGTGGGATGTTCCAGGCAAGATTACCAGAATATGTTGCCATTTTCTCCTCCAGGGTATCTTCCTGACCCAGGGATCAAGCCCGTATCTCGGAGTCACCTGCATTGCAGGGGGATTCTTCGTCACTGAGTCACCCACCGGGGAAACCCAATAAAAGATTAATTATATATATATATATATACACTTGTGGGATGCTGGTCTGGAATCAATATTTATAGAAATAAAAGGCAAGAATAGAATGAGAATGGCACTTTCATAGAAAAACAAATATTAGAAATCATTAAGCCTGACTGTGGGAATAGGGGAATATATATGTATATTATGCTGTTGTAAATTCAAGGAATGAAAAACACAATGTCCCCACATTTCTACCACATTTAATATTTTTATACAATCAGCTTGAAGACAGAGTTTGGGTTTAATTTGCTTTGTGGGAATTTGTGAGTCTTAATTGTAAAAGACATAAAAAGAAAGGGGCAATGCCTTTGCATATATTTGATTATGTAGGAATGATCTTTCAGAAATGATGCATTTCCAGGGAAGGCTCAGGGCCAAGAAAAGAAAAGAGTTGGTGGTTTGAGACAGCTGGTTATATTTATCAAGCCTGGGGTTCCTCTTGTGTGGTGGCCTTGCCCGAGTTCTTAGTTGTGTGGTTAGCTAATAATATGAAAACACAATATAATGGGAGGGCCAAAAATGTTCATTCTATAGCCAACAAATGCTACACTTGTGCCAAAAGATATAGCTTTTTTACATCATACATTATAAAAATATGATATCATTTCAAATAGTGTGGAAAAAAAGAAAATGCTTAATAACATAACTTGATGACACATACAAGGAATATTTCTTTATTAATGAAAGCCTATGTTTAAAAAAAAAAGAAAAGAATAAACCATCCATTATTTGTAATCACTGAAAATTAGTCACAGAGAAAAACATATTGGTTTTCTGCCTACATATGCAGTTTTCATCATAATCACGGAACATGTATTTTTTTTCACTAACAGTTTGATTTCTTTCAAGGCCTGCAAAATGTCTTAAAATAATTTTTATGAGTTTTTTCCTACAAGGCTTGTATGTATTTGATGGTGGATGCATGTGATAAATAGTCATATTGGGAGCTATAATCAGGGGAGAAAAGATGAAGAGTCTGAAATCTTGGTCTTTATTTTAATGAATAAGTTTGATTTCACAAAAAAAATGTTACACTGTAGTAATTCAACCTTGTCATGCAGGGTTTATAACTCATGTCCACTTTTTATCTTCCAACACTTACTTTGTGGAGGAGTGCCCTGGACATTCTCTGTTGGTTCTTAGAACATTTACAACCCATCCATGATTTTTTGAGTATTAGGGGCTGAATGTCTGTAATACTTCCAAAAATCTTTGCCTCCCGTGTTACATGTACAGTTTATATTGCACCAATAAGATGCATTCGAAGGAGGTGTGGTGGGCTGAAAAGAAGCAGGCACCACTTTCTCCCTTCGAAGGCCGTCGGCTGACAGTGGGGAAGCTGTGATGCATCAAATCTCTGACCCCTCTGCAATAAACTTGAAGGGGGTGGTAGATCTGATTTTTGCAACTTGGAATTCTCCAGCCTGCAACAATTTTCTAAATATCTAAATGCTTGTATAAAATGTCTTCCTTTGTTAAAATCAGAGATCATTTCTGTGTTACAAATTGAGCTAAGACTGATAGATTTGACTATCAGCTCAGTTCAGTCGCTCAATCCTGTCCGACTCCTCACTACCCCGTGGACTGCAGCATGCCAGGCTTCCTTGTCCATCACCAACTCTCAGAGCTCACTCAAACTCATGTCCATCGAGTCAGATTTGACTGTAAGTTTACATAAAATTAAAGAAAGTCAATGTAGTACAGCCAGTCTTTGACCTGGAATATAAAAGTCATTTATGAATTAAGGCCTAGTTGAAAGTTGAAAAACCACAAACAATTTCTACCATAGTAAAGATGTGTCAATAATCATGTCAAAATGTATTATCAGCTTTTTAAAAAGTCAGTTCCTGGTTACATGCCGTATGGAAAAGTTTTCATTACTAAATTATGCGCTTGAGTTGTCATTTGGGGAGATACATGGTAAGTTACTTACTATAAGCTATTTTTTATTTTTTAAAATAAAGTAAAACTAATATATTATTAAAACATTTTATGCTTTCTTAATATTATCTGTGTTGTGTTTTTTTAAAAGTGAAAGCAACTATATTTAATTATAATGAATACAAAGTTTTGGTTCTAATATCTTTGCACTCTCTCTGGCATTTAACTAATATAAAAACTGACTATGCTATGCCAGAATAAGTTGTTTGCATCGCTAATATAAATACAATAGCTCTGAAAAGAGATAGAATATCTTTACCTGGAATGGATGTGGAACATGTGAAAAGAACAGATTATATTAAATCAGAAATAGAATACATTTAAAGTACAAAAAATGTTTCTGTACAAGAAGACAACAATCTAAGAAATATAACTGCGCTTACTATCTCGTGTCAGAAGAATAATTACAAATGAGAACTTCTAAATAGGCTGTTGTATTTACAAAATATGTGTAAACTGTAGTTCTCCCAAAAAAGAGAAGTTATCATTCATAATCAGTGGGAACTTGATCTTCTAGAGACTAAAGAAAAAATTTTAAATTTGGGAGCAATTTTTAAATGATAACTGTCTTAACTCAGGCTTCAGTAACAAAACCCCAGACTGGGTGTCTTAAAAACAACACACATTCTTTTTTATCAGTTCTGAAGGTTGGGAAGTTCCAGATCCAGATGCCAGCAGACTGGAATTTGGGTGAAGCTTCTCCTGGCAGGCAGACTGCCAGCTTCTCAGCGTATCCTCAAACAGTGGCGAGAAGGCAAGCTCCAGTCTCTTCCTCTTCTTATAAAGGCTCCAAGCGCATCATAGTGACCCACCTCTTCTAAATCTAATTTCTCAAAGGCCCCACCTCTAAACACCATCGTATGGGGAGTTAAAGCTTCAACATACAAACTTTGGGGAGACAAGAACATTGCACAGCCACATGTCTACTTACAAAATGGTTACCAAATGCAGCCGTATTGTTAGTTCCATAATATGAACTTCAGAATGCATATTTACAAATAAATTATGCTATATCAAATTATTCGCCAAGGATGACGCCGGATGAAGAATACAAACGGGCTTCCCTGGTGTCTCAGTGGTGAAGAATCTGCCTGCCAATCCAGGAGAGCTGGCTCTGATCCCTGTCCGGGAAGATCCCACCTGCTGTGGAGCAACGAAGCCCAGGTGCCGCACAACCGGGCCAGTGCCCCAGGGCCTCGGACCAGAGCTGCAAGCCCTGAGCCCAAGAGCGGCAGCATCCGCAGTCACCCCAGTCAGGGCTCCCGAGAAGCCCGTCCATCACAACTAGAGAAGAGCCCCACTGTCCGCAGCAAGAGAGAAGCCCGGAGCAGCAGTGAAGACGCAGCACAGACAGAAATGCATAAACAAATGCGTACTTTTTAAAAAAGCAACAAAGAAAAAATGCTTTAAAAAAAGAATACACTTACCAATAGAGAGGTATCTTACGTTTACATTGGTAAATGCCTTTTTTAAAGCATGTTTTGTTTGCTGTTTTTTTTTTCATCTTATTTGTTGTTTACGTATTTTTGTCTGTGCTGGGTCTTCACTCCCTAGCTGTGGCACGCAGCCTTCTCTCCGGGAACACTGGCTCTCGGGCGTGCGGGCTCCGTAGCACACGCGCGCTCAGTAGCTGTGGCTTCCTGGCTCGGGAGCGCTGACTCAGCAGTTGTGACTCACTGGCTTGGTCGCTCTGAGGCCTCTGGGATCTTCTCCGGTAAGGGATCCAACCTTGGTCTCCTGCATTGGTGGTGGTGTGTGAAAATTGCATAAGGTTTAATTATGCTGAATTTGTTCATAGTGCTTTTCAGATCTACTATATCCTCCTCCTTTTAAGTCTTGTCATTCTACTAATTTTTGAGAGCTTGATATTGAAATTCCAACCAAAAGTCTTAATTTATCTTTTAAAAATATTGGTTATATATAGTGGGACTGTATGAAACTTTGTTCTGTATTTTCCAAGTCTCCTGTAAATATGTTATCACACTTTCATAATTTAAAAAATGTTTAGTTAAATAGAAAAGAATACAAACATGTATTTAATACATACACAAACACCTGAAGAATCTTATAAAGTATAAAAAGGCAATGCATTTGAAAAGGAACCACCGATAACAAAGGTACTTCGAAAGGAATATGGGCGATGGGGCCGGCTCTAATACCACCACTGAGCATCTCTCCAATCACATTTCATCTCTGCTGCATGAGATTGTAGGAATTTTTTACACCATAATGTCAATAAGTTGCTCAATAAAAAAACAAAAGCAAGTTGGTAGTCTTCTGGATAAGCTTTTATTTCTAGTGCTTTTGCAAGGGAAATAGAGTAGCCCTTATTTCCCTTAACTTCTTTCATTTCTCTTTATTTCATTGTCTTTTCCTTTTTTGAATGTATGTAAAAATAATGAAGCACATATGTTTAAATGGTTATCTGTTTTCTGAATATCTATTTCAGTCTGCTCTTGAATTTCGTCGTTTTCCCTTTGGGTGCTATTCCTTTATCTGAATACATCTTTTTTGGTAAAATGTGTTATCAATACATTCTTCCACTGAGTCACTTGTTTTACTCTTTATGGAAACTTATGAAGAAATTTTAATGTATCATTACCTTTTTGTTTAGTGCTTCTTATACCATGTTTATGAAATCTCTACTCTGAAATCATACAAATATTCTTTATAATATATTCTAAAGTTTTATCATCTTACTCTTTATATACATCAATCTGTAATATTTATGTATGTATATATACATAATATCTATCTCTTGATATTTTAATTTCCTAATCTTTATACACTTTGAATTCCTGAGACATAACCACTTTTATCATAATGTCCCTTATCATGTAGCATTATGGCGGGCCACTAATCTAATGGTGTCCTTGGAAAAGGAGAAATTTAGAGATAGACGCACATGAACAGGGAGAATGCCAGGTACAGTGAAGGCAGAATCAGATGATGCGTCAACAAACCAAGGGCCAGCAAAGCTTGCCAGCAACTACCAGAAGCTAGGGAGAGACTCGGAATGAATTCTTCCTCCCAGCCCTCAGAAGCCTTCCCCTCCCTGTAGGTGGAAAATCAACTTTCAGCCCAATCACAACTCATTTGAAGAGAATTTATATTTTTCCTCAGAGAGCTTTAGAGATTTTTTTTTTTCCTTTTCCTGCGTGGTTTCACTATGAAATGTTTAGATTTGTATTTCTCCTTACACATCTGATTTGGGTTTCATTGGACTTCTTAAATTTGTGATATAAGGCCTGCCATCAGTTATGGAAAATTCTCAACTTCTATCTCTTCAAATATTTTTTTCTGAGCCATTAATCTCCTTCTTCTTCTGAAATTTCAATTAACTAGTCCTTTTTACTATGCTTGTTTTGTCTAAAATATACCCTGCATTGTCCACTTTTCCCTCATGCTGAATTCTGGATTATTTATTTTAATTTATTTTCTAATTCAGTAATTCATTCATTTAACTATTTTTAACCTACTTTAAATCTACCAATTGAGTTTTTAATGTTTATTTTTATTTTTTTACTTTTAGAAGTTATATCTTATTCTTTACCACTTTTTCTGTGCTGCTTATTTTGTTTCCTATTTCTTATTTTTATTTTAAAATGTATTCTCTATTTCTTAAAACATTTAAAATGAAGTTATTTTGTAGTCTATGCCTGATTCCAATGTATAAAGTCTTTGCAGGTCTATTTTTGTTGTTTGTAGTTTCTACTGAAAGTGAAATTCACTTAGCCATGTCCGACTCTTTGGGACCCCATGGACTATACAGCCCATGGAATTCTCCAGGCCAAAATACTGGAGTGGGCAGCCTTTTCCTTCTCCAAGGGACCTTCCCAACCCAGGGATGGAACCCAGGTCTCCTGCATTGCAGGTAGATTCTTTACCAGCTGAGCCAAAGGGAAGCCTAGTCTCTGCTAGTTATGTTATTATACTAGGTATGTTATTATCCTAGTTATGTTATTATATGTTTGCTGTGTTTGTGAATATTTTTACTAGATATTGACAGTTATGAATAGTTTTAGAATTAATTGATAGCTAAGGTGAAGATATCTTCCTCAAGAAAGAATTTGTGTTACATTCTTCCAGAAGAGCTTTAAAACACGTACCCTAAAAGATGCCAGAGTTTCAAATCATGTGAAAACTTGCCCATTTCTTATCTACTCTCAACCTCAGGGTATTTTTGGAGACACAGCTTATTACGGGAGCACTTCCTCTTTCACTGTTTACCTTTCTTGAATAAAAGGCTTTGATATTTTGACCCATTCACTGTTTTAATATTGTAAAAATAAAAGTTCGGAACTTTCAGATCAGCCAATATGTTATGGGAAGAGTACTTTTTTTTCTCACTTGTGTCTATCTCTGAATTCTCACTTCTACCTCAGGAAGTTTGGTGATTTCTTACAAATATCTGACTATTTAGAGGCTCTTAAGAATTTTTTCCTAAATGTCCTTTAAAAAAAAACTTTGTTGGTTACTAATTTAATCTCTTCTCACAAGAAATGAAAATTTCCTCATTAATCTTTTTAATAAGTTTTTGAGGGAGCAGCTAGGCAATTTTTACAGCTGGGATAACGTTTTTTGCACAGGTATGAGATTAATATGTTTTGTAGTAGACGTCTAGAATAAGTAGATTTCCCCATTTAATGACTAATTTTATAGTGAAAAAGTCGTTTGTCTTACGTATTTTGTACTTACCTCTGAATAATACTTCTCCTTCTCTAATTTGCTTGCATGTTGTACAAGGCAGGTAGCCCTCTAGGCAGACCTATGTTTTATTCTTGTACAAACTATAGCAAAGTGGCTCTGTGCACTACCCTGGAGGTAGAATACTTGAAGTCTAACACTTCCACTGACCCCTCTGTGACCACTATAACTCTCTAGGATTCAGTTTCTTGTTTATGAAATGAGAATGCAATTTATCATGTAAATAGTTGAGGATTAAGTTAATATAAGTGAAGCAATGACATCTCCCAATCATATAATAAATATCAATCATCATTATTTTAAGTATGTTCTTTTATGGAACACTGTACTTTTGGCAAAATGTTTGATAAGTACTTGATTAATGATAGATCAGCTATAATTATTCTAATACTGCCAAGCAATTGCATGGTGGAACACTGCATGCACTTTTTGAATAGCAGACATTTATTCCTGCAAATTGAGACAGTCCTCAAGGAATGGTATTGAAAGCAATTAATCTATTTTTAAAGTTGGTAACCTAAAAAACAAGTTACTTTCAGTGAATGCTAAAGAACATATTAAAAACCAGTGACACTGATAGAAGTTTTCTTAAATTGCTTATGCATGTCTTTAATGATATTCAATTTTGGATTGTACTAAAAGAGCTCATTGAAATGTATTGCAGCCCTTTTCTATGTATTACAAGATTCACAGGATGCCAGGAAGTCTGTTATATTTAGGACTACATAGAAAGGTCTGATTTCATGTAGCTAAAGTTCACATCTGATAAGTAGAATTAATTTTAGGCAATATCATACAAAAACTTTTAAATGGCCATTTTATAATTTCCTTACCCTAGTACAGATATGTCTCAGGGAAAACAAAGAGAAAGCCTTTCTCAGCACAAGTCACTCCTAGCTATTGTCCCAAATTAAGCACAAGCTGTTCTCTTATCTAATCAAACTATTTTTAGCCAAATATGAAAGTTTAATTAAAAATATATAAAAAAAATGACTGTCACTTTTGAACAAGCACCCAGTCAGAGGGAAATTTTATCATTTTGGCAGAGAGGTAAAGTAAAAGAAGACAAAGAGACACATTTTGACTGTATCCTTTCTCTTTTATAATATAATCCAAACTGATACCATGTCATAACTGCTCCAATTTAAATTTATTTCAGCTTTTATCTAACTTAACATCAAATCCCCAAGAAGAGAAGATCTAACCTGCATTTCCAAATCATACATTTTTACCTGGAATTCTTTGGTTCCAAATGAATCTTGCTTAAACATATATTAAGAAACTCAAATGTAGAAATTCACTATTATTTGTTTGAAATAGATGTTCACCTTTGTGGTGAGGTAACTTCCTCAATCTTATTTTTCTAAAGGTTCCTCATGTATTATGATCATTATGAGCTTACTTTATTCAACCTGCTGCCATGATATGTTCTCATAATTAGATTGATTAATTCGAATCCCCATTGAGTTGAATTTTTTTTTTTTGGTCATGTTAGATTATTATCTTAATATTCAGTTTAATTGAATTTAATACATTTTTGTTTATAATACTGCTTTGCATCTTGTAGTTGAGGGCTGTTTTACATATTTTGGTATCAATATTGGAAAATGCATATGAATATTTAAGCATTTTTTTCTCTTTTAGCTCTTATCTTGGACTTTTGGAATTTTCTTGCA